AGGGAGGGAAGTGCATAGGACTATGGTGGTGGCACAGGGGTGATTTGGTGATGGAAAACCTGCGGGAATTACAATCGAGATGGAAAAAAAATGTGCGAAATGATGTAAAAATAAACTTTTGTAATAATTTAAAAAAAGAGACTGGTTGAGGAGGTAGTTACCCAAACTCTTATAGTTAGTATGTGATTGCTTAAGACTTGACATCCCCTGCTTTGATTGACTTATTCTAAATTATGGTTACGAGCATTTAAGTCTAACAGGAAAGTTCTAAACTGTATAACAATATATCATTTTTTTTTCTGCAGCTTATATTTGAAGTTGCTTTCAGTGGTCCCAAAGGAGGATATATTGCCCTGGATGATATTTCTTTCTCTCCTGTTCACTGCCAAAATCAGACAGGTATGCATTCTCTTTTTCTTCTTTTTGACATATGAAATCTCCCTTTCTCAATAGATGTATTGGTTAGAAATTTCTTCTATAGTTGGTGCTTGAACAACGTAGGTGGTTAAGTTCACTGACTCTTTCCCTAATACTCTCATTTAATTTATATTTTTTCCTTAAAATATTTAGTTCAAATTGTAATCAAACATTAAACATCTCTAAATTTGACACAGTTATTAAAATCCCCCAAATTCCATCATTTACCATTTCTTTGGTGTTATAGGAATTTTTCAGAATTTCTTTATTCATTTTAAAATGATAGACTCTCTTGTCACTAGGCATTTACATTGACCTTTTCTATTTCCAAGTTACACATATGAAAAAGGTGTATTTATTAATGTCTGTATTGGGTTGAAGGTCAAATGAAGAGGCAAATGGGAAGTAATAGAATCTATTGAACCACATTAGAAATAACACAGAAATGCTATCTGCAAACTCTCTCCTACTAGATGATGAAAGGAAAAGAAAGATTCCAGAAAAATAAGATCACTGGTAAGAGGCCTGGTGACCACTCAGTTCTACTCACATAGGGTGGCAGTAGGCGTTAAGTCTCAGCACAGTGAAGCTGTAAGCAGCCACTGCAACATGAATACAGTCTCTGGCCAGGGACCCACATAGCACAGCAGACCTCTCCTGTCTCACTTGCTGCTTCTCTCAACAGTGTATTTCAGTCAATCTGCCTGTTCTGCTCCTCACTTTGTCTCAGGTGAATCCTTTCACCCTCTATACCTCTGGCCTTACCCCAATTCTTGGATGCATAAATAAGTCTTTAAAAAATAATAAAATAGGCCCTCCCTGGTGGTGCAGCGGGTTAAAGCGCTGAGAAGCTAAAGCCACTTCCGCATGAGTTCAAATCCCGCCTGCCCCGGAGGAGACCACGTGGCGTGGCAGACCTCTCCTGACCCGCCTGCTGCTCCCCTCGGCAGTGTACTTCATCGATCTGCCTGTTCTGCTCCCCACTCTGTCTCTGGTGAGGCCTCTCGCTGCCCCTGAGCCTCTGGCCTGTACCCCAGTTCTGTATGTACAAATAAATACATCTTTAAAAATAATAATAATAAAATAAAATTTTACCCACATAAAGATTCTTCCTTCACAGGAACCATCAGTATTTTGTACTTTTTATATAGTTGGTTTCATCAAGTCTCTGTATTTGCCTGTAAAATTTTCCAACATGCCAATTTTGCTTTAAAGTGATTTAATTGCTTGATCACATCCCTACTCTGCCACATATGAGTTTTGTGTGACTATGAGTTTGTTAGTTAACCTTTCTGAGGCTCTTTCTACATGTATAGGGCAAGGATGAAAGAATCTGTTCCGTAGTATTGCTGGGAAAATTGATGTACTAGTGTCTGTGAAGGCCTCAGAGGAGCACACAGAAAATGCTTGGTCATGGCAAAATTATTTCCTTAATCCATTTCCGAGATAGGGCTTCAGACTAAAACTAAAGAGAACTAGCAGTAGGCATGGCCTTGATGGTTGTGTCCGCTTGGAGCCTGCATTGTGCCCACCACTCAGCAGCTTTGGGCCAGACTCTAAATGCTTTCCCTACTTCATCTTAAATTTCATAAAGAGTTTGCATCCTTCCATTTCATAACAGGCACCAACATTTTTTTGTTCTTTATCTTGTTTAGCTGCAGACTTGCCTGTTTTTCCCAGCTGGATGTAGCACTTTCTTCTCTCATCTCCCTAGTAGACCAATACAGAAATTATTTCAAAACTAGAAATGTCTTGTTGCCACCAGCTATTTGATCTTCAAGTTAATCCCACTACCCAGGCCTGAGACCTATTGTAGAGTTAAACACCAATGGCATGTCCTTCCCCGAGATGCTTCCAGAGGATAATAAGGCCTCATCGCCCAACTCCATTTCCAAGCCTTTCCACCCACCGACTCCCCTCCACCACCACATCTGACCTAAAAACTAGACCCTAAGAGTAAATCCTATTTTAGGCTGTAAATCACTGAATTCCTAACAGGTGATTCTGCCTGCTTCTAGGCATCATAACTAGTGCCAGCCCAGAGAATGCTACTGCTCTGCCAGTTGCAGACCCAACCTCCCCTCTGAGCTTGCCTCCGCACTAAGCCCTGAAAGACTGGAAGGATCCTGACACTCACAGAGTTATCTTTCCAAGGATACTAATCCCACTATAGACCATTCAGGCCTCTTATTTAACCAGAAAACTTGCTCCAGTAGTTGTCTACATTTTAGCTCAGGTACCCTGAAGTATCTCCATAGCCTGATCAGCGTCCCAGCCCCCTGCTCCACCTAGTCCTTAGTCTGGAGCTGGGTCTTACTCACTGTCTTCCCCAAGCCAGTTTGGAGCTGTGTCATCTGTTTCCAGGCTAGCGCATGCTAAAATACAACTTTCATGCAAGTTCAGCAACCTAAACATCACACTGCACACCAAATCTCTTTAAAATCCAGGGGCGGATGAGTCTTTTAGATATCTAGGACTGACGACTACTGAGTTCATCTCCTTGAACTCCATGGCACAGAAAAGATGAGAAATACTCTCAGTATGTCTCCAACTGCAATAACCTGTCACCTGATTAGAGTATCTTCAAAGCCTCTCATTTCTATAAAGTTCAAATGTCAGAAAGCAAGTAGCAACATCTTACATTATAATGCCTTTGGTATTTTCCTCATAAGGACTTTATTTCTTTATTTTTTCTATGTCTGATTAACTGATGCTTAAGGGCTTTTAGTTGCCTTGGATTCATCCCTCTACTTAAAATATCTCATCACCACTCCTCAGTAGCTCCTTTTTGTTCTTGCCACTTGACCCAGGCTTCTCCAGCAAGCCTGCAGCAAAGGCTTTTTATCTACCCGAGATCTCTGGGGAGCACATTTTGGGTCACTAACAGGCCCTCTGGCTCCCTCTTCAGAAATTAGATACTATTTTATGGCATAAATACTCTGTGAAAAAGACTTAGGTTTTGAATTATGCTTTTAAATTTTTTTATTTTTGTTCAGCTCATCTCAGGAGCCCAGACAAATCCATTTCTAGGTTTAGGTGTGTGACAGAAGAATTTAGTTGCATCCTCAGGAAAATATTTGTGTGACTCATGGGGAGAACTGAAACTTGCTGACTTTCACATTTTAATACCACCTTTCTCCCCTTCCTATACACTTACTATGTGGGTGTGGTTCTCCTGTAGTTCTGCAGGGTCTGTCTACTGCTCGGAAAATAATCCTGATGAGTAGTTTCGTGGACCTTCTGTTCTCGTGGTGCAAGAGACTTTAGGAGCATAACACATTTTCTGAATTGGATGGCTGTCCCTAGATGTCGGGTTTTCATCTGCTTTTTCATTATTATGTGGCAGAGGGGTGCCTTAGACTGGAGACTACTATGGGGGTTCCCATGCTCTCAAACCCCTGTGGGAGAATGTTGAAGGAGTCTTATTTGTACAACATCATATTCTTTGTTCAAAGTCTTTACTTCATGGCTTAAATTCAGGTGAACGCTGATAAGCAGAGTTAGGTGAGGAATAATCCACCAATCTTAGAGTACTGCGAAGTCTCCACTTCTTTTTCTCGTATCTACCTCCTCAGGCTATTTTCCTTACACACTTGCTGGGTCGCATCATCTGAAATTCAGTCCTGTTCCCATTATAGAGGAGTATTTTCTTCCATTCCCTTTATTTTTATTTAAAAATAATTTTTTTTTAGATTTATTTATTCATACAGAACTGGGGTACAAGCCAGAGGTGCGGTGAGAGGCTTCACCAGAAACAGAGTGACGAGCAGGACAGGCAGATGGATGAAGTACACTGCTGAGGGGAGCAGCAGCTAAGACAGGAGAGGTCTGCCACGCCATGTGGATCACCTCTGGGGCAGAGGATCAAACTCGCACTGAAGTGGCTGTGGCTAGCTCCCAATGCTGTATCCTCACCTGCTGTGCTACCAGGGAGGGCCCCAATTCCCTTTATTGTTAATGTAGCATTTGTAACTTCTTGTAATGTGCTTTTAAAAGATCTTTGGTTTGGGGCCCTCCCTGATGGCACAGCTGGTTAAAGCACAGCACTAGGAAGTTAAAACCACTTCAGCATGAGTTCGATCCCTGGTCCGGAAGTGATCCACATGGCATGGCAGACGTCTCCTGTCTCACCTGCTGCTCCCCTCAGCAGTGTACTTCATCGATCTGCCCATTCTGCTCCCCATTCTGTCTCTGGTGAATCCTCTCACCACCCCTGCACCTCTGGCCTGTACCCCAGTTCTGTATGCATAAATAAACAACACTTTAAAAAAACTATTTTTGTATCACTTTTTAAAAGATATTTATTTTTACATCATTCTTCACTTTATGAATCTTTTCATCTTGGTTGTAATCTCTGTGGACTTCCCACCACCAACTCACCCATGTGCCATCACCATATCATTTTAACTGGAACAAAATTTGTAAGAATACCATCAAGAATTTGCATATATTCTTTACCCAGACCTACAAAATGCTGGTATTTTTGCCACATTTGTCTTACCAGCCATTTAAGATACTTTGCAGACATTCTGAACCTTTACCCCTAAATACTTAATATGTATTTTCAAAAAGTGCATTCTCAAGTACGCTCTAGGATAAGTATAAATCTGAGGTAACACTAATACAGTATTAGCAACTAAACTCTATACCATAGACCAAGTTTGCCAGTTGCCCCAGTAATGGTTGTTAGTGTTAATCGTTTCCTGGGCCAAGCCTGCATCATGGATGCCTCGTAGCCTTTGGCTGTTGCGCCCCTTTTGTCACCTGTAATCTGTGTCAGCAACTCAGACCACGTGGGTGGGTTTTTGTTTTGTTTTGTTTTGTTTTTTGCTTTGAAAACTGACAAATTAAGAATATGGTCTTTGTAAACAGCTCACGGCTCCCAAAATGCAATTGTTTTTCTAGAAATGATTTCCTAGTTAAAACAGTACCCTCTCTCTAAAATGCCCCCTAAAACGTTCAGTCAGTGTATGCCAGAGTGCAGAACAAGATCATACTTGGCTACACAGAGTGTGGCCCAAGCTGTTCAGTCACATGCCCTCTGGGCTCAGAGGATGCTGAACAAGGAGGCTTACCATTACTTGTTGGTGTTCTTAAACACAAAACCAGAAAACTTATGTTCCATTCTTTCTGGGCAATCTGGAGCAATGTTATATTTATAGACCAGTGCAAATGATACCAGAACTCAACAAAAGCCACAATAATAGCAGCATGAGTGATGGAATGGGGTGATTGTAATGACCCTTTGGAATGAGTACTACTTTTCTTCAAACATTATCAGTTCCTATTAACTAATGTCAATTATAAATATACAGTAATTGTATTTCTGGCACAGAGATTGGTCAACAAAAGAAAATATTTTCAGCAAAACTATTAATATTTTTTCTAAAGAGAAATTAAGGATTCCTTAAAAATACTTTTTATTTCTTTTTAATTTTTGTGACTGTATTTTGAATTGTGAAGAAGTATGTGAATAATGAGTTAAGTTTTTACATCACAAAGGGAAGTTTCTTTTGAAACCTGGTACTTTTTATGTTAACAGAAAGTGTGCACAGAATTCCTTCCTCCCATCTCCTTAGGGATGAAAAGAACAATTTTCTTGTCATGCTGAAACATTGGTTTCATGCTAACCTGTCAGCCTGCCATTAGGGTACAAATAATTTTGTTGTTTGACTTCTTTGGTCTCCACTCACACAAATGTGTACATATCTGTCAATCATTATGTGATCTGTTAAGATCCTTGGGTTTGGCTAATTGAATTTTCATTCTCCTTTGCACAGAGCTTCCTTTCAGTGCCATGGAAGCAAGCTGCAATTTTGAGGAAGATCTTTGCAACTTTTACCAAGATAAAGAAGGTGCTGGCTGGTCCCGAGTGAAAGTAAAACCAAATGTGTATCAGGCTGGAGACCATACTTCAGGCTTAGGTAAACCAGGAGTCTATGTATATACTGAATGTCCGAACATTTTTTAAATGGATGGGAATTCAAACTACTATGCTAGCAGAAGGTTTTGCCAGTTAGTTAAATAGCAAAACCTTTGGAAATATTCCTGCTCTTCACTTTAGGTGGAGAAGTACCTTATTTTTTTAATTGAGTTAACATTGGCTTAAGCACTGAATGTAATTAGGAATTATAGTATCACACACCTCAGATGCATGTCACTCCACTATAAACACCACCAAGGCAACGGCACCCTCCACCATAACCCATTATGCCTCCTCCCCACTTTGTTCCCTTCCCCCCACTATACCTCCCACCCTGCCATCATATAGTCTGAGTTCCACAGTCAGGTTTCTAGGGTTTGTTATTGGTTTGGTTTCTTTATATTGTACATATAAAGTGATACTGTCTAGTACATTTCCTTCCCCTTTTGGCTAATTTCCCTTAGTATTATCCCCATCCAGTTCCATCCATGTTGTAGCAAATAGCATGTGTTCATCTTTTGTACGACTGAATAGTATTCCATTCTGTATATATACCACATTTTTCCTAATCTACTACCCTGTCCTTGGGCATTTCTGTTGCTTCCATACGTTGGCTACTACAGCTAGCACTACCATGAACATAGAGGTGCATAGTTCCCATTAATTTGGTGGTGTTGTATTCTTTGACAAGATACCTAGGGGTGGAATGGCTAGGTAGTATTGCAGACCTATTTTTAATATTTTGAGAACCCTCCGTATTGTTTGCTGAAAGGGCTGGACCAGTCTGCATTCCCAGAAACAGTTACAAGGGTTCCTTTTAGATAGAAAAATACCTTTAAAAGGCTTGGAGGGGTTCCTTCATGGCACACAGTGTTAAGTCTCAGTGCTGTGAGTTATCACCAGCCACTAAAGCAAAAGTTCAATCCCCGGCCAGGGAGCTGACCCACATGGCACAGGATACCTCTCTTGTCTCACCCACTGCTCTCTTCAGCAGTGTATTTCAGTAGATCTGCCTGTTCTGCCCCCCCCCAACTCTGTCTCTGGTGAATCCTTTCACCCCTGCACCTCTGGTCTATACCGTTTAAATGAAGTATCCAGGATAGGCAAATACATGGACAGAGATTAGAGGTTGTCAGGGTCAGGGGAGGGGAAAATAGGGATTGACTAATTAATGGATGTAGTTTCCTTTTGGGCTAATGAAAATGTTCTGGAACTGGATAAGGTAGTAGTTGCACAGCATTGTACACATACTAAATGTCACTGAACTGTACACTTTAATATGGTTAGAAAGGTAAATATTATGCTTATTGTACTCTACTACAATAAAAAGATAATATATTGTGGTAGAAACTGTTGGGCAGGCATGCGAATGATACAGCTACATGGAACTCTTAAAAGCTAATTTGAATAAAAGAATTTCTTATCCCATCAATGGTGCAGCCCACTCCAGTACAGTCAGCTAGAAAGAGCTTGTTTTCAAAGGGTTAGTGTCTTGTTCATTTATTCAGCAATTATTTATATTCTGGACACTGAGGTGATTTTACCATAAAGCTGATGGAGCTTAATTTTCAGAACTCCTCACTTGCATAGGCCCTGGAGAAAGTCTTGAAAGAAGTCCTTACAGTTTTATGCCTGTAATTTTGTATTCTTGCCTAACTTGTAGAATATTGACCCTACAAAAACTTATTCTGACCTTAGCCAGACTAGCTCCTGGGGGATACAATAGTGAATAAGATAGGGATGGATCCCATCCTCTCTGGCCAACAGTCATTTCAGTGAGCAAGATAAACATTCCAGAAATACGTACACAATAAACTTTTAATTATAAGTTATAGTTAAGTGTTATGAAAGAAATGAAGAGCGAGCTCCGAAGAAGAATAGTGGAAAGAACTCAATGCTGGTTGGGGCTTAAGAGGAGCTTTTTCTGGGATAGTGGCATTAGCAGCAAGAGTAGGAGCAATCCAGTCAGAGGAACAGTGTCTGTGAATGTGAAAGGAACTGGTATTCCAGAAACTAGAAGAGTTTCCTTTTGGGCTGATAAAAATGTTCTGGACTGGATTAGGTAGTGGTTGCTCAGCATTGTCTACATACTAAATGTCACTGAACTGTATACTTTAATATGGTGTACATATTAAAGTTAGTACATTTAATTAGCTTGGCTGCACTGTGGGACAAGAGTAGATGAAAATGAAGCTGAGAGGGAAATAGATCATAGATGTGGCAGCACAGGGTGAGTACTTGGGTATTATTACAAAAGACATGAGAAGCTATTTAAAGGTTTTAAGTAGAGAGGACAGGTATTAAATTTAGACTCTAACAAGGCTTTTCTGCTACTGTATCACCATCTATTGTAGTTTGTTCAGGCTGCCATAACAAAGTGCCACAGAGTGGGTGACTTAACCACAGAAATTTATTTTCTCACAGTCCTGGAAGCTGGAATACTCAAGATTAGGATGCCATCAGAGATCTGTGTCTTTTCTACTTCTTACAATAACAGCAGTCCTATAGGACTAAGGCCCCATCCTTATAACTTTATTTAAGGCTGTCTCCAGATAGAGTCACAGTGGGCTTAATGGTATACCCTTCAGTCTCCACTACCAGGCAGGTGCAACAGTTACCAAAGAATCTTTGTCAAGTGAGTTAAATAAAAGGGTAAAACTAAATCATATGGCAAAGTCTGAGGCAGACTACTTTGCAGTCTCTTCATCTCCTCTGACTACTGCAGAGATAAAAAGGAAAAAAAATGTGCGTTGGTCTCATGTTCACTACAACGCTGTGCTAGGTATCTATCCTAAGCTGTTTGACCCCCACAGCTTGGCACCCCAATATAGTTTCGTACTTTTTGTTCCAAGTAGAGTGTAAATCCTAATTGATGACTCAAAGCTGAACCTATTCAGCTGAAAATCTATACCAGTTTATGGAATTTGCTTAGAATTGGAAGCTTACTTACAATATAGTCACAAAGGAAATAGTTTTATCATATAAGACATAGATATGAGAAATGCTTTCTATCAATGAAGTTTGTGAAAACAGTTTCTGTCAGAAAATTCCACTATTTTAATCAAATTTGCCCACTTGATAATCTGGTAATCTACATTATTTAAATTTTGCATTACTGATGCACTGAATGCTTTGTCCTATTTGCAGGGTATTTCTTGCTGGCCAACACTAAGTTCACTTCTCAGTCTGGCTACATTGGAAGGCTCTATGGTCCCTCCCTGCCAGGAAACTTGCCATATTGTCTACGTTTTTATTATGCCATCTATGGGTTTTTGAAAATGAGTGACACCCTAGCAGTTTATATCTTTGAAGAGAACCATGTGGTTCAAGAGAAAATCTGGTCTGTGCTGGATTCCCCAAGAGGGGTGTGGATGCAAGCTGAAATCACCTTCAAGAAGCCCATGCCTACTAAGGTACAGTGGAACTAACCCATTTCCTGTTCATTTTTATCTGCTGGAAAACTCTGAACTCATGCTTGAAGGTGACCCACAGTTTTTGTCAGTTTCCTGATAGACAGAACCAGTTCCTCTAAGAGTGGGAGGAGCTATTTGATGTCCATATAAGTCTGCATTAAATAAGGCAGAAGACTTAAATTAAGTAACTTGCACAAGTTGAAATGCACATATAAACGGTATTTCAGAGAAGGAATAAGAAGATGCAGAATTTCCCTTACTACTCCCTAGCCCTGAACTCTAATTCTAGTTTTACTTCTTTTTCTGAAGTTTCCCCCCTGATTTTCTGATGCTTTCTTCCATATTCTAAATATTGTATTTCTACCTCCATTTCTTGATTCACTAAACTTAACAGTATTTGCTAACTTTCTGCTATGAAAGATAAGGAATTTTGCTAATTAAATTATTCCTTTTCCTATTCTCTCTCTACCTTACAATTTTTAATTATATTTTATTTTTACCTTTAAAACTTTAATACACTTAGCCACTTATTTTTGGACCCATAAACTTGTCTTTCAATACCCCTACCATATAAGATAAATAAATTCTCACCTCTGTACTTCCTTTCACGCTCTTGCTCTATTTCTCAAATTCTCTCAATTACTTTTACATTGTCATGGCTTATAATGTATACATTCCTACAAAGAAAGCTCCTAACTTTGCCAGTCACTGGATTTCCCCTTGGCATTTGGAAGAGAACTGTTTGTCTTTCTTGGGGATCATCCCTCATCTTACTGAGCTTTAAACATCTGAAATTTCTGCAACAACCCAAGTTATTTCCACATATTCTCAAATGGCACAGAGATGCCATACCATCCTTGATGAGAGCCATTAGCCTACAAATTGATTCTGCAAATTGAAATAAAAAACTACCCCACATGCAGTCCACTCTCACCCTCCTCCAGTGGCTGTATTTTCTAACCTGCTCTCTAATTCAAAAGGCATGTATTTGAATTTTGACAATACCTGGCCAAATCCTGGTACTAATTTTCATGCTGGAAATAGTTGGTAGGTATAGTTGAGTACTTATCCTGAGAATTAAAAATAATAACTACAACAATCCTTTACATTTGTGTTGCTAACTGCTTTCATGATTACTCTCACCTCTGTGTGAGTTGTCAATGTGAGGCCAAAGCTGAGCTGAGTGAGGGCCACCAGTACAGAATGTAAAGAAGTCAAAAAACATCCACTCTGCCTCTGGTGACTGCTCTCACGGCCTCTGCACCTTTGGCCTGTACCCCATTTCTGTATGCATAAATAAATAAATCTTAAACAAACAAGAAAGCAAACAAAAACATACAGCCTCTGCTTCCTTGTTTCACCTTTCTCAGTTCTAATATCCACAGGCTAGGTGTCTGTGCCTCCCCAGATATCTTTCAGTCTTGTTGTTTCATTACCTTTCTTTCCCCATTAGTTCTTACCCAGCCTATTTAAAGGACAATGGGCCAGTTCAATGAATAACTGTGCTGTCTCCCCTAGAGAGCCTAACGTTTGATAGAAACTGTAACATATATTGATAGCTCTACTTAAGGAAGGATAGCAGCAGTCAGAATTTTCCCCAGACCATTCCAGCAAAGTAGTTGTGTGGACAGATTTTGTGTAGTGTTGTCACAGCTGCCAGCAACAACAGCAACTTGCTTGAACACTTTCCACACAGATACCACACTGAATCCCTGACATGCATTACTTTAGTAGATGCTATAGCACCCTAGGAGGAAAGCATCATAGTGGCATTAATGGATAAGGAAAGCTCAGGTAAGAAATTAAGGACAGTGTTCAACAACACACAGCTATTAAGTGATAGAGCTGAGAGTAAATCCAGGTCTGTTCGAATCCAGAACCCAAGATTTTATGCAAAGACTTTATGCCATCCACACTTCTTCTCCTGGCTAGAGATCAAAAGTACAGACTCAGGAGAGATAGGAAACCCAGCTCTAACGCAAGATTGCTAAACATTTCTAGGACTTTATTGTTAACCTTTGGTTGTTCTATTTTAGAAACAAATTGGTTGCTGAGAGGGATCAAATTCAAGGTGGTTCACATAGACTGAGGAGAGCTGTGGAGTTGAAGGAAATACAGTATAATAAGTCCTGATCTTCATATGATTTCAGTGCTACCATTTCTTTAGTATGTGGGTAATTCCACACAGTCTATACTATGGAGTATTTTTAAATTAAAAATCAGGTTAAGGGCCCTCCCCACTGCACAGCGGATTAAAACATAACACTATTAAGTTATCGCAGCCACTGCAGCATGAGTTTGATCCCCAGCCAGGGAGGTGATCCACATGGCATGGCAGACCTCTCCTGATTTGCCTGCTGCTCCCTTCAGCAGTGTAATTCAGTCTATATGCCTGTTCTGCTCCCCACTCTGTGTCTCTGGTGAATCTTCTCAACCCCCAGCCCCCCCCAATCCTCTAGCCTGTACCCCAGTTCTGTATGTATAAATAAAATCTTAAAAAAATAAGTTAAAGCTAAAGACTGTAATAGGGGTAGGCTTTCTTTTGAAATAGCTATTTTTACATAATAATTTACAACCCAGAAGGGTGTTTTGTTTTTTTTTTTTTTAAATGAGATAGGGGTATTGTAAAAGGGCCTGAATAGTGAAGTAGTTTGTTGATCTATTTTTCCTCAGTCCTACACCATCTAGGGGACAGGTAATAAAGAGTTGCCTTGAGACTTTCATACACTAAAGAGGATAATGAGGAAAGAGAACAATTCTCTCCACAATGCTTTTCCTAAAAGCCCAATGTCAGGAGAGACAAGAAAGTCATTGTCAGAAATTCTGTAACTGTGGAGCACAAACATTAGCCTTTGTGTGTTCAATTCAGCTGAACACTCTGCGTGGCCACTGTCCCATGTCTTTTAGGGCCTGCTCTATATCCTGGCCCCAAGCTAGTTTTCCCTCTAAAAACAATCTTTAAGTAGTTTGTTAATTAGAGAACTAGGAAAAACTCAATTTTGTATTTTTTTTTTTTTTAAGTGTTGGATGGTTCACAAGTGAGCAAACAGTCTGCAGGCATTCTGTTTCAGCAGCCATTCAGACCCTCACATAAACCTGTCTACATGACCCTCACGTAAACTTGTCTATTTCTTTATTCTGTTCTCGGATTAAAAGAAAACAAACTTCAGAAGGCTTTTATGTATTTAGAGAAAATCCTCATCTTTGGCTTTCTGAAAATGTATATGTACATACTTTTCATAGGTTAGAACCTTATATCAGCAATTCTCAGGGTATCCTGAGGAGTTCAAATGCTTAATTTGTTCCATTTGAATAAGGTTTGTGTGTTCAAATGAGTGGGGACATTTAGCATACTAGATGTCTTCTCTTCCCCATATACACGATTCGCATTGCATAATAACATACTGGTACATTCTATATTAGAGATCCTGTTAAGCCTCATGCCAAATGACAATTCCCTCAGAGTATCTGGCATTGAACCCTTGCCTGTGTAGCTCCTGTTAGCTTTGAACTACCATCATAGTGTAAGGCATTATATGGAAATTGTCTACTAATTTGTCTATCTACATTAAATCAGACTATAAGCTTCTGGAGAACAAGGACCCATATCTTGTTTATTTTTTATTTCTAATGCAAATAGTATATGGACCAATGAAAACTCAGTAAATAGTTAAGAGAATTGAACTGTCAGTAAATATGAATAGATGGCAAGAAAGCGCAACATAAATCCTACAAAGGAAGAAAGATCAAATGGTTCTGCCTTTAGATCATAAGTAGTCGTGACTCATTACTCAACACCTAAGCAATTTGTCCTGCAAGAAATTGAATATGAACATTCCAAAACAGAACTACCTTGCTGGAGTGAATATAAGCACATGCAGATAAATATATGCTAAGTCTGGTTTGGAGGTGGGGTAAGGGGGAGAAGGGATTGTGCTGATATATTTTAACCAAAAACTGTGAATCATCCATTTGAAACAACTTGCCAAGCTACATCACAGTATTCCCCAAGACTAAGGCGAGGGTTATCAGTGCTCTCAATTTTCCTGGTCTTTTTGCCACCCCCAACTCAGCTTCTCCAGCTTCCATTCTGCAATTGTGGTCAATGGCACACTCACTACTTCGTTATTCTGTCCTTAGCCTCAGATCCTCTGGCTTCTCCCACCTTCCTTCCCTTAATCTCTGGAAACCATCAGTAGATACTTTCATCATTGTTTCCCCAGGACTCTCCGCAGATAAACCTAAGTAAAAATAAGATTCATTGCCACTGTCCCCGCTATGCTGCTGGGAAAGCCTTTTATTCATCTCATCTCTCATTGGCTTGCTTTCTCTTTCCTTATCCCAGAGGTTTAGATTCATTTTCACTCACAAGTTTCCAACATGCCTTTCCCTGACTCAGTTCATCTCCCAAATGACAAAGGTATTCAACACTAGCCCATTTAATTCTGTTTTTCATTGAATCTTCATCTGCCTCTTTTTCATGATGAATCTGACTAGGATTATCTTTACTCTTAGTCAGAACATACCCATCTATCTGTACTTTTAACTTCACCCTCCTCCCTCCTTTGGGACTTTTTTTTTTTTTCATAAATTATCCCTTCCCATGTAAATCTTCTAGCTTCATTAGTCCTTTGCACACTGTTCAACCTATGCAGACTGCACAAATGAACAGTAAATCTTCCTTTCACTCAGGGATCCATCCTTCAGCTTTCACGCTTATTGAAAAATGTATCTTCAATTACTGTCTATATTCTAACATGGTATCCTTAAAACCTTTGCCTTCCCCCCAACAATGCTCCCCTTAGGGTTTATCAACAGCTAGGTCTTCCCCATTGATCTTGCCTGAAAAAATTCTATTCTTCCTTCAAAGTTCATCTCAAATGTTCCTTCGTCTTTGAATCTTTTATATGTCAGGAACTTTGTGTTTTATTTGCTAGGATGAGATATGTTCAGATCCTAAGTCACGAATGGAAAGATTGTTTTCCAATCTTCAAGTCAAG